TTCAGCACACTATTTTTTAAAACGCGTTGCTCGAATAAAACTGACCAGACACATTCAATTTACCAGACTATTGAACAACTAGGAAAAGTGAAAAAAATACTTCTTATCGCCAGCATATATGCGTAATTATTTTTTTTACAGAAAAAGTAATTTTTCACTTTTGATTGAGTAACGCGTCGTGGAATGCAGATACGGGCATGCAAAATACACTTGTGAAAAGCTTGAAGTCTGGCGATTCTAAAAATATATACTTTCCCGGGTCTATTTGTAGTCATTTAGTCACAATTAAAAGATGAAAACAAGTATGCAAATAATAGTCCCGCTACCTTAAGATGGAGATTGTAAACTGCTATTGTAAATCTCAAGATCATAAAAACCCTAGTCTGAAGTTTCTGAGAAGGTAGAGTGCTTCCCCGAAGCTTTCATTACACCTCTTTGTGTTTGTGTAAATTAAGGTCAGTATAGTGTCTGACATTGACCGGGTAGCCAAAATTTCACATTTTCTCCTGTTTATCGTAGTGTAAGTTGGTAAAAGGTGATTTTTCGTTCAACTGCGAGATCTGGCGAGATGCATGAAAGAGGAACGCTTGCTGCAAAAATAAAAAAAAACCTCTAATTTCTTTATTTTGTAGCTCACATCGACCGGCCAATCTTCAACAGAGGAATATTGCTTTTGAATACCTTCACTTAATCAAAATTGTCTATCATCAAATGTGTACAACAAATTATTAAGCATGGAAATGCCCCCAAAATATTTTCGCGTTTGTCGAATCCCACATTATGTTTGACGCCACTACGACCTTTGTTTGTCCTGTTTTTATGTTTGATTTCACGCGCAGTGAATGGAAAATAGTCTATTGTACGCTGTTGTGTGTAAACGTCACTGCCTTATAAGGCCAATTTATGGTTTTTGATGAACCTTTAATAAACTCGTTTTTGTCAGCTTATTGGTCACTAAAATAGCCCCAAATTAAATATATGTGACTATGAATATTACAGCAGTGATTTTATGGCACAATTATAATAAATTACACATGTGTTGAGATTTTGTACTTGTAAGATCAATTTATACAAACAGGAAATACACCACCAATGAACTAACAAGGATTATTGATAGAGTCCACTGACTTTAAGGAATTGTGATGGAGTAAAACAGAATTATTTTTTAAATGATATCAACCATTTCTGGCAGCCCTGAACTCTTTTGATTCCACTGACTGGAGTTTTGGATTTTTTTTCAAGTGTTCATCCAATCTCATTTATCAGTTGTTTTACTGATTAAATTCTCCACAAACGAATTGCCCTCGGAAGTTGCATGATCCCAGCTGAATCAAACAAGATACTGAGAATTTGCACTATCAAGTAAATCAACACAATAGGTTAAAAGAGGCAGTTTATTGCTGCTGTTTAAAATATTACAATATTTAATATTCTAAATATACAATACTTTTATCTAAAATACATATTTTGATCGTGATTGTTTCTATAACTTTATAAAATAAAAGAAGTAACTTACTTCAGCTGTCTTATCCAATCCATAAAAACATTTTTGCATACATAATTTTAAATTTGCATAATTACTGAATATTAATAAATCAAACTATATTTGTTAACTAAAACAAAGAAATCAAAGACTCCAGTATTTACTCATTAAAACTAAAATTGCCTTGGATTGATACTGAAGAATGCACCATTCGTGATGGACTTTTCCTTACAAACACAGAATTTCAAATACAAATAGTGAAAATGTACCTTTTAACACAGAAAGTTTCACTGATGGACATGAATCAATGTAAAACGGCAGATGGTATAAAATACAGCTATCAAGTCACAAAGCAGGACAATAGTGTTGAAATTATAATTACTCTATTAGAAGTAAATCCTCACAAAAAAATTATTTGTTTCTGTTGAGTTTGAAAGGTGCATGTCGTACCCTTATCTTTTGCTTTTACCAAAATACTGGAAAAACCAACAATAAAATCACAGTAATTAAAACAAATAAAGCATGAGCATTGATTACATCATTATCTTGGACTTCAAAATGAACATATAAAATTTTTGATGATTTTGACTGTGAGGTCTTAAGATTTTATATAGATTTCATTGGAATGTGTTTCTAATAGGGCAATTATGATAGTACTGTAAAAGCATTTATTTTCACTATTTTGATGTTTTGAGCATATTCATTGTGTTTAATTTCACGAAATTGGCAAGTCAACAATGAGTTTTATTGTTTTTTTACATATTCACGTAGATTTAATTTAGCAGATTTGAGTTAATGTATCAGCGAAAATACAGAATTTAAAACACAGTGAATAATTAATGCATTTACAATAGTTGAATATTTTCATTACAGCTCAGTGTATTCTTTTAAGGAACTCCTAAAAAAAATTAAGTATTATATAAAATGAGTCTTTGAGAATAAAATGCTATAACAAAACTGTGTCTTTGTAACGACGGCAAGACACTGCATAAACTACACATCTAAGGTTTATGAATATTTAATATGGATACACTGACACTGATATAAATATAACAAATGTAGTCTGATACTCGATTTGATGAGCGTCATTGTACCCGGTCGCTTCCACCGTCATCTGATATGTCTTGGCATTTGTAAGCGGTTCTAACGTGTAGACGACACCTTTTCCGTTTCTGTCATGGCGTATGTTGAAGGGTACCTGAGTAGAACAGTCACATGTACAACCACATCGCTGTCAGATAGAGTAAGTATACAAAAGAACATAGTAGGAAGATGTGATGAAATGAACATGAAGTTAAAGGTATGATTATTACTTTACGAGTTTGCCATTTAGCCTATGGACAATTCAGTTTGGAATAAACGTCTATGGGGGTTTTCACTGTAACCATGACAGCAGGGTAGGATTCTTGGGTGATGTAACACAAGAGGTCATAATGTAAAAAGGTTTCTAGGATGATATCGCACAAAATCAGAATGAATAAATTATCACCAAAAAAATTGACAGTTGCCAAAAATATTCTGAATTTGCATAAATTTATACAATGTAATCTGTAAATTATATTCATTCTGAATTTAACATCAAGCAGACCAAGTAAATAGATCATTTCACAGACAGAGCTGTTCAATTTATGCACAGTGAATTACGTCTAAACCAAACACTCCATTTTGGAAAAATTATTTATTTATTATTAAAGGGACCTGATTTTATGTTACATTGCAACAGAAATTTCTTTCTGTCTTTCAGTAAATCACATGTTTTCAAATTTTGTTATCAAAACCTACAGCAAATGTGAAACATGGTTCAAAATCAACATAGAAATAATAGAAAAATAGTACACCCAAATGTTTGAACAAATACTTGCTAGTGGGTAGATGTATTTGTACATAGAAACAATAGAAAAATACCGGTATTACACCCAAATGTTTGAACGAATACTTGCTAGCGTTATTTAATTAAGAAGTGGACCCCTTCCATCTACCTTAAAATATACAATATATGACAAGTTTTAGTCTAACTGAATATGTCCATAGGCACATGTACAAATTACTGAGAAAAGCAGATAATATAAACATAGAATAAAAGACTTTCATCGCATTACAAATATCCTATGAGGGACAACGTCAAAATATCGATGTCGGATAAAAAACTTATTTGCTTT